AGTGGGAAGTGGGCACAACCAGAAGGTTGGGTACCAGCTCCGCAGTCTCAGCATCTGCATTTTGGCAGCATCACGTGCCTTGGTGCAGCAGGCAGGGGAGGAGGGAGCCCTCCTGCAACCCCCCGACCTTTCTCCAACCACCCTTCCAGCGGCTGCAATATTACAGTGAAATTAGTGGGCACTGTAATTACAACTATCAGGAGCAGATAAGACAAGTTAAATACCAGCTACCTAGGGAGAAATTATTATGCCAGCCAGGAGGATCCAAATGCCAGAATCCGTGGCTGTAATTTCACTGAGTCGCCAATTACAGCTCCGCCACGCAGAGAGCTCTACCTTGGAAACGGCAGGTATATATTTAGCTGCTCCAGAAAACTTTTTGGGTAGGAGAAAGGGGGGGGGGGGAGAAAGGAGGGGGCAGCCATGGAGCAAGTCCTCGCTAATCTGCTCTTCGCTAATCCCCACGCTTTTAGCATTTGCACACAAAAAGCAGGTGACTCTCTTCCCGCTTCCCAGCAAGGATTTAACAGCAGAGACGTGGCTGCATTATCACTTCTCTTCTCTGCCAGGTACGTGGCTGCACGTTGCAGGGCAGCAGGTGAGTGTCACAACCCCCATTAACAGGTAGGTACACGAAGCACCAGCAGTTTGACCAAAAAAAGAGGCAGAAACCCCTGATTTCCTGACTTTCCAGACCTATGTCTGCAGACTGTGGTCCTGCTGTGGTTGTACTTTACTGAGGTCTCATCGTGTGCTGGAAAACAGGCTGCGGTAGGTTATTACACACACCAGAAGAAAAGAGAGAAAAAAAAAAGAACTAAAGCAGCATTGTCAGGAATAATTAAAACTATAATTGCAAAAATAAATGGAAGAACAGCATCTCATGATGTTTTATTCGGGCTTTTTATTTTTAATTGGAATTGTTCTCATAGTCGCTAATTGACAGAACAGAGCCAGCACAGAAGCTTATGAGAATGAGCAAAGCTATCCTGGCTTTTCGGTCTCCTTCATGGACATGCACTGGGGGAGGCCATGGGTTCACCAGAAGCAGACAGGCACAGGGGATTTGACTTCAAAATTTCCCTTTAAATACAGAGATAAAGCACCTCTGTATTATTACGTGTAGAGAAGAGCCTAGCTGTACATGCCTAATGTTTTCTGCACCGCCTCAGCACCACCTACGAACACTCATTCTTCTGATCATCACTGACAAACCACTGCTTTTGGGTTCATTTTACAGACAGGGAAACTGAGGCCAAGAGCAACAGAGGGGCCTCCTCAAACCCTGGTGTCCCTGTGGTGACAGCCAAGGAGACAACCCAGCAAGCTCCATCTCCCAGCCACTCCCTCCAACCACCGAAACACATTCTTTCCCTTAAAAAAGAAAAAAACCCACCACAATATTTCTTAAATACAGATAAAACCATAAAGCCTTGAAATTTGGAGCAGCTGTTGGTTTATGTCTTTATGAACTGCACTGATGCCTGTTATAAAAGGTCGGTTTGCCGGCGGCACAGCGGGACGATCCCGTTCACATCCATCCCCATTTTAGCACCGCTTGAATATTTGCCACAGTTTGCCCCCCCAGCAGCCCGTCAGAGAAGATCCACCACTGTGATGCAGCTGGGATAAAACCCAACCCGAGTTTCCAGCCAGGATCAAGGCACCAGGATTGCCAACCGTGCCCTGCCAGCAATGCCCCCACAGCAACCCCAGGGCACGCGCCCAACAAGCGGCGTGTGGAGAAGGCTGAGGCTCAATGGCTCTCTTCCCAAAACCAGAAACTTAATCCTTGTCTCCTCATCAAATCCCAGCTGGGAAATTAAAAAGTGACCTTCTTCAACCTCCCTGCTGGTTACCAGCATGCTCCTTGTTCCATTTCGTGTCCCACGGGTTACTGCTGCCATCTCAACACCTGCCCCACTTCATGGCAGAGAGTTTTGTGCTTCAGAATAAGGAAAGAGGCAGCTTGATTTTATTTTCAATAGTACACGGAGAATTTGCAAACTGCCTTGAGCTCCCCAGAGAGGAAAGGTGCCTGACTATTACGGGAATCGTTTGTTCTTACAATAAAAAGTAGTGAATTATGAACAATCTCTGCTTAAAACAGCCAAATTATTTGCAGCTGATCTAAGATGACCTACAAGTTGCCTGTAGATGGAGCCTGAGTTTCTGCAAGGATTACGCTGAGCCTCCCTCAGAAAAAGGATGGAGAGCTGGAAATGGAAGCACCCAAAATCCAATACAGGAAAACCACAACCAGCCTGAAAAGCCCTCAGGCTTCCTCCACCGCCTGCCCACGGTTGTGCTCTCGCTTACATCTCCTTTCTGCAATGCAACGGGTGGTTAAAGAGCTGATCTTGGGAAGCAAAGAGCTTCCACCAGCCCTGTGGAAGCCAGGGAGACACACAGGCTCAGCCCAGCTCCTGCCCAGGATGGAGGAGGATGGGAGAGGACTGGCCACTCCAGACCCAACAGGATTAGGGATAATTCTGCAAGACATACACACTGGAATTACAGCTCTCAGTTTTTCCAAGGCCAACTCCTTCATGTGAGCACCAAAGGCCATTTGAGGGAGGACAGCAAAGGACACCACACCTGCTCCTCCTGTGGGTGCACAGACTATTCACCAGGAAAATCACCATCTACCACAAACATCATCCACACGGAAAGACTCCCCAGGGAGGTTTCCCCTTCCCAGCTCTCCACAGAGTATCACAGCCTGCAAATAAACATCAACATTATTCCTTGAGATCCTCCACCCTTGGGCTCCTGCCTTCAACCCACCACTGATGCCTCCTCTCTGGCTTGCTGTGTGCAATCCCCTGCCCCACTGCCAGATCCCAAGGGAAGATGGAAAGCTACTTGCTACCCAGAGGAGGGGGGAAACAGGAATGCCAAAAGAGATGGGGTAGACTGGGAGCAAATGGGAGCTGGAGGCCAGAACACTGATGGCAGCAGGCTGGACTTGAGGAGGAAAAGGGAGGGGTGAAGGCATGGAAAAGATGCACCAGAGGGCCTGAGCAGGAGCAGATGCCAAGGGGGGAAATAGGTAGAGAACAGGTGCTTTGAGGGCAGGGGCTTCCTCTAACTGCCAGCACTTGGGGGATGAAGAGTTTCTTATAAGAAGGCTAAAATATCCCCCCCGGCTCCAGAGCTGGCTGCTTCACAAACATCCCCTCCTGCAAAGAGCACAGAAAAGAGGCCAGAAGCTTAAAAATAAAAAAAATAAAGGGGAAAAAAAAAGGAAAGGAAAAAAAAAAGGAAAGGAAAAAAAAAAAAGAAAAAAGGAGATCCAAGTCAGCCCCCTGCTGGCAGCAGGCTCGGCTGGAGTTGCAGGGGCTCCCCAGGGAAGGGGCTCAGCCCCCCCACAGAAGGCACCCCTCCTGCTCTGAGCCCCACCAGCACTGCCTCAGAGAGCCCCAAACCCCACGCTTCACCAGGGAGACAAATTCCGACAGTGAGGAAAAGAGCACCGGGGCCAAAGGCACCTCCCTGGGGGATTGTCCTTCTTTAAACTGCCCTGCTCGCTCCAGCCCAGGTTAATCATCGCCACAGTTCAATTAGGAAAAGCACAAGGAAACGGAGCCCTCTGCTCTCCAGCTGAGCCACGGCCCCCAGTTACATGGGGCAATGACAAGTGTGTCCCAGTGGGTCCCTGGCAGGACCGAGGAACAGGGATGAGCACGGCACAGGCAACATCCCAAAGTCTGGCAGTCGCCGCGGCGGGAAGCAGACAGGAGACCAACGCCTCTCTCGGCAGCACGGAACTCACAGAGCCTCCAGCCAGAACCTGATTCCCACCACCCTGTTATGCACCAACCACTTCCCCTACAAAGCCCACCTCAGCCACGGAAAGGCTGCCTGACCACCCAGGCGAGCAGAGCACCCTCTGTTCAGCACCAGCTCCTCGTCCCTGTACTGGCTCGGCTGCTATCGGAGAGCGTGACACGCTCTGCTTGTGCCATCCCCGTGCCTGGCTTTGGGAAGAGCAGCTGCTCTCTGCTGCAGCCCTGCTAGCCCGGGTCTGAGCGGGGGAGCAGCCAGCCCTGTGTGGGGGACACGCTCTGCTCGCTGCTGCACAGACACCAGCAGATGAACTCCAGGCTCGCTTGCTCCACGCTCACGTCCCACCATCCCCGTGCTCCCTCCCCAAGTCCCACAGCTCCCGGATTAACCAGCTCGGGTCCTCCCGGGGCTGCCTGAAGCACGCACAGCACGACCCAAAGCCCCAGCCACGAGCTGAGTCCCCGCTGCCCGCTGAAAAAGGCTGGGCTGCTCTCTGCTCATCCGGACACGCTGCTGTGATGCCAACGGAGAGCTGCTCTGCTACCTGGGCACTGCACCATGTACACCTGTAACTCATCCAGGGAATGCAAAGGGATGCTCGGCTGTACTGGGCGGCACACAAGTGGCCCATCTGCATACAAGCTGCCTGTGTTTCTCCTACAGCAAACAACGCAAGGGAAAGCATCCATCAGAATTCATAAGATGCACCCCTGGAGTAAGAGATTGATTTGATATTAACGGATTCGTGCGGAGACTATAAAGTGATCAAGGCGAAACACCGACACCTCGGAGGCATCGCAGCCCTGGAAACCCGCCGGCAGCGCCGGCTGGACCCCCTTCCCCTCCCACACAGGCACAACTTCGGGAGTGTCAGGCAATGCTAACTCACCGTCTGCCACCTAAGCCCCTGTGGCAGCTCCTGGTCTGGCACCCGCAGCCCCCCCGGGAGGTCGCCAGCCCTGCCCTGCAGCCACACGGCACCGGTGTGTCCGTCCCCACAAAACCACCCCAACGGGGAGTCCCCCGCCGCGATGGGGACGAGCTGCCATCCGAGGTGTCCCCTGCCACAACAGGGACAAGCCCCTGGGACACGTGCAAAGTCTCCAGCCGGTCCCAGGACCCTCTGGCAGCCCCGCTGGGCGCAGAGCATCCCCCAAAAGCCCCAACCAGGACCCCCAAGCCCCCCGAGGCCCCAGTCCAGCTGCTCCTACCTGAGCGTGGCGCTCTCCCCTTGCCGCACTGTCACGTTGTCCATGGCTTTGGGGAAGGTGGCATCTCCGCTGCGCACGGGCACTCCTGCGGGCACAAGGAAGAGCAGCCTGAGACAGAGGACGACCAGGCACCTCCAGGGCAGGGCTAAGCACCCACCGACCCCCATCCTGGGCAGCGGGGACTTTTCCAACAGGCAAAAAACACACCCGACAAGGCGAAAAGGGGGAAGGGGTGGGTGGAGAGGAGGGATGGGGGGGAGCAAAACCACCGGGGCGAGCGCTGCGGAGCTCCACGGAGATCAGGAGAGCCCCCGGCAAGGCTGGCTGCGAGCGCTGAGCCTGCCGAGCGGCATCGGAGGGAGTCCCGCTGTCCTCGGGCGAGGGAGGAGGACGGGAGGGCCGGGGGGAGGAGGAGGAAGAGGAGGAGAGAAGGTGCGGAGCACGAGATGAAGGTCACAGATGTGTGGCTGCTGGAGACGCTACTTTCAGCTGCAGCTGGGCAGGCGCTGCGGAGATCTGGCATCAAAAGTTTATAACCCACGGAGGAAACGTGAGTGCTTGTGGCAGGAAGGGGAGGGCGGCATCGGCACCGGGGCGGGGGCGCAGCGGGCCGGGGCTGGGCTGTTCGCCGGCTCTTGCGTTTTTGTTTAAATCATAGAGGGAAAAGGAGAATTAAAAAAAAAAAAAGAATAATTATTAAAAAAAAAAAATAAAGCTCCCCAAAATGCCGATTCTGTCGCAAGATCGAAACTTCCCCGCGGAGCTGCAGGCGATGTCCCCGACGCTCCTCGGCTCTGCCGAGAGGGTCCCGGGGCTCCCCCCGTGGGACCGGCGGCCGCTCCCGGCTGGGCTCAGTGCGGGGTTAGGGGAGCGCGGGGGGGCGGCGGCGGCAGCACCCCGGCCCCGGCCGGCAGCATCCCCGGGGTTGTCATGGCAGCGGCTCCAGCGCTGCCCGGCGCCTCGGCTCCCGCACGCCCCGAGCCCCGCACACGGGCGGGCGGGAGGCAGCGGGGCGGGATGCGCACGGAGGACACACACGTTTAACCCCCGCCGCGCCGCGCTCCGGCAGAGGGACCGGGGCTCCCACCAGCCGAGAGACACCCCCCTCCACCCCCAAAACCTTTAACCTCTTCAGCCCCGCTGCAGAGGGGGCTTTCCTCACACCACGCTCGCCACAGGAGCAGCAGGATGCCCGCACCCTCACCCACCCCGGCATCTTTCCCTGCATCCACCTGTTGATGTGTTGATGTGGGGGCTGGGACCACTTTTCTCTGTTGATGCATCTCCCCGTGGGGGGCTGTGACCACTTTTCTCAGCCTGTGAGAAACAGGGTCCTACCACCACCTCTTTGCCCCACGGAATGGTGTAGGCAGCTCCAGAGAATCTCCCTGCCCTGTTCCTGCTGTTTCCACTCCTTAACACAAGATCCTTGCAGCAGGAAGCCCGAGGGTTTTCTACCCCACCACTCACAACAGAGCAGCACCTGACACCAATAAAATCAGCTGAAATCACGAAATTTCAACAGATTTCCTCCTTTGGAGACACCCATAGACTACCAGTTGTCTCCTCAAATGGGAGCTGAAGACACCAAGACCTTGGTGACCATCCAGACGCATCTGTGCGTGCCTACCAAAGAAAACCAACCCCACACAGTGTTCCTCACACAGCTCCTCATGCCCAAGCCAGGCTGGACCTCTGCTGGGTGCCTTCCTCCAAAGGGCATCTGCCTCTTCTATTGATGTATCATGAGGAACCTGCCCCTTCCTGGAGCTAGGGAAGGAAAACAACCACCAACAAAAGCATTTTGGCTATTTCAGGATCCCAAACTCATCCAGAGCCCCAAACACAGCTGTTGAGACTGATAAAGAGGTTTTGCAAGGGTTTTTCAGTGATCCCAAGCTCAGTTATCAGCACAGCAGGTCCTTTGTACGTGGCAGGGGGACGCAGTGACCCTAAATACCCGACTAGCCGTGGGCTAGCACTGCAGAGCTGCGTGCTGGCTCCCGGCACCAGCTATGGCTGCAGGCACCAGAGGGATGCTCGCTGCAGCCTGGATAAATAGGACAGCCTAGGAAAGCACAGAGAAAAGCAGGGCTGAGTTTTCCATCAGAAAGCTGCTGGAAAGTTGGCTTAACCCTGAACATGCAGGGTGGCTGCTTCGATACCGGGGATTCTTCGGGGGGAGGATGGAGAGGAAGGACGCTCCATCTCCTTCCTGATCTGCTCCCACGCTGGCACAGAGGAACTGTGTCTGCTGGAAAGGAGGGAGCAGCAGCAGAAGGAGCCAGCACGGACCCCTCACAGCCCCCAGCAGCGAGGCAGCCCGACCCCAGGCGCTGCTGAGCCTCATCCAGCAGCAGGATGAGCTCCAGAGGGAAGGATGCTGCAGGGACCACAAGCTCTGCTGGGTAAAATGGTGTTTACCCCTTGGGATAGGAAGCTGTAGATGCAGAGTGCGTGTAGCAGAAAGCCTGCCAGAGCCGGTGCAATTCAGGCAAGGGAAGATTTATAGGGGGGAAAAAAGCCTGTCTGCCTCAGAAAAGGCTTCTGAGGAGGCTGGGGAGCTGTGGATCCATGAACAGATGTAAAGGCAGGGCATAAACAGACAGAGTGAAACTAAACTGGCTGCCACAGAGAGATGGGCACAGGTAAGAGTATATGGGGCATCGGGGAGGGGAGAGAGAGGGCTGGAAAATTAATGTTATCCATATTTACCTAAGTGGGTAGGGACCCAACAGCCTAGAACAGCTATGCAGGAGGCTGCAGGAGACATGTCTCAGCCACACTCATCCCAGAGACCACTCTGTGCTTCCGACAGTGGTGCAGGCAGCCCGAGCAGCCTCTCCTGCCCCAGCCTTCTGGGCCAGCCCATCACAAACACGTCCCAGCCCCGCTGCTGTGGTTAACGTTACCTCCCAAGTGAGCACACTGCCAGCAAATGAAGGGAGAGAGCCAGGACACGAGGGAGAAAAGGGCAAGGGGAAAAAGAACTCGAAATCCAGGAGGCTAAAAAATCTGCATGAAACACAAAGTCAGCAGACGCGAAAGCAGAGGCGCTTTCGCGCCGAGACAGTCTGCAGACCTGAGGTTGCACGGGGTGGCTTCAGTTCAGGTCCATGTCTAAAAATATCGCCTAACTGAGAGGGACTCGAGGCTGGCACAGGCCCTGGGGGCACCAGGCATATGGCAGTGGCGGATCCTGCTCCTCATGGTGACGTTAACAAGCCCTGACCTTCTCTCATCATCCCAGAGGCTCAGAAAGAAACCGAGCCGGCAAGGACGAGTCCCTGCACCTCCCCGGCTCTCGCCTCCCAGCCGATTGTCAATCTCGCCTTTTATTAGTGGTGCAGTTTGGCCTCCCTCTCCCTTCGAGATTTCTCCCTCGTTGCTCTAATCAGGAGCTTGCAAATGTCAAGAGTACAGGCCTGGAAGTAATTAGTGAGGGACGGGAGCCCGGGGGCCGCGCGGCGGCTCAGCCACAGCGCTGCTCCAGCGCCGGACTGGGGAGCAGCTGGCAGCCACTGGGACCTACTGGGCCGCCCTGGCTTTTATTCTCCAGCCTCACTCCTCCTCCCAGACTATTTTCCCCTTCTCCACACAGCTCAGGGCATGCTGAGATGCCCTCTGTGCAGCAGGGATTGAGTCCAGCTCCCTAGGGATTAGTGCAGTGAGGGATGGGGAGACTGTAACACCACCGGGACATGAGCACTTGGACAGCAAGTGCCACCTCCTGCTCACGAGCTCCCTTTGGGACACTGCCTCTTCCAAAAGAGATCCAAGGAGTATTTCTAACTCCTTTTAAACCTGCCTGCATAGGGGAATTCTAGGAAGTATGGACACAGCTGCATCAGCAAGGTGGGCTTCACCCCAGAACAGCAGCTTCCCCCATGGTGGGCATAACAAACCACTGAGTCCTTGTCACAGTCCTCAGCAGGCAAAGACAACTAAATCTTAAGGCAAAGATAATAGGAAAGAGCATTCTTTCCTTCTTTTTCCCCTCTCCCTGAGATGAACTTTGCGGTCCCTAAGCCACTCAAGTCTTGTTCACAACTGAAGGGGTTAATGCTGCACCCAGGAAAGCAAAAACCCAGCAGAGCTGCAGGGAAGAGCAGTCCTTGGAGGCCCTGGGCTTGTTTAATCAAAGAGCTAATCCTTGCTAGGAGGGATTCACCCTCCAGCAGGGTGGAAGTTCTCCAGATCTCCCTCTGGAAACCCCAGACAAGTTTTTTCAACAGCTCCTCTCTGGTCCCCAGCTGGCAGACAGCTGCTGGCACTTTCTTTCCCAAAACTGGGCTCTTTTAAGGCATCTCTCTCCTGGGGAAGTTTCTAATCCTGAACATCTTGGCCACCCTACCTGGCCAAGACATATGTAACACCTCCATGGCGAACACACCGCCGAGTCCTGTTGGTCTCCTGCACTGTCCAGATGGTGTCTGGGCTCGAGGCTATAAGATTTTTAACTAATTTCTTTCCACACTATTATCCCCTCCTCCCTTTTCTCCCACCTCCTCTTTCTCTCCCTCCTTCTCTCCATCTGTCCCTACCCCTTTTCTTCTCCACCTTTTCCCTTGCACACTTGCAGCTGCTAATTTTTCCCCGGCATATTTGGCAATCCATCCCGACACCCCTTCCCCCACACCCCACCGCCCCGTTTCTTGCTTTTCCCATTTGCTGCTGAATATTCTCATTTCTTCACCCCCCAAAAAAAGAGCACCGAGCACAGGCAGGAGGAACACACACCCCCCCATGCAAAGCAGCACAGCAGAGAGAATCACATCTCACAGTCCTGGGATAAAGATGAGCATCCTCTGGCACATGGGAGGGGGTCACAACAAAACATCACCCCTTTCTCAGCAGGAAAACCTTAGGAATGTTACTCACAGCTGCACTGACCACTGCCAGGCTGATGGCACACACACAGCTCTGCCTCTCTCTCACCTCTGCCTCTCCCCAGCAGAATTTATTTATCCCACTTAATTTTTTCAGTTGTTTTACCTTATCTTCACACTAAATCAGGCTCTCTCTGCAAACTGAACTTTTGTTTTCCGTGCTGTTACATTTAATGCATTTTATCACATGAATTTAGCAAAAGAAAAAAAAAACAACAACAAACCTGCTGAGGTAATTGTGAAAAAATGCAGCCTGTTCTTCACATTGATCATGGTGCTTGAGCTCGCCTGGGAAGCAAATGCAAACTGGAAGCTCAAGCTCCTCATTAACACCCAGTTCAGGGCTGGTTTAGCAGTCAGCCCCCCCAACACCATCCTCATGCCTTAAATGCATGCACAAATCCTTCTCTTTTCCACAAAATCCTTCCAGGATGACACAAACCCAGCCTGGAGTCATGATGACAGCACGGCAAGGCAAGTTGTGGTTCAGGAGGATCCACAAGATGGTGATCCCTGTGGATTTTAATGGGATTACTTTACACTTAATGCTCAGCTACAATCCCCAGCTGAACCCCAGGGATATGGC